CTCAAAACAGATCTTTCTGTGATGATGGGCAGGTTCTCTCATCTGCACTGTCCGATACCACAGCCACTAACCACACATGGCCATTGAGCATTTCTAATGTGGCCAATGTGACTAAGGAAGTCAATGTTTTATTTTATTTACTTTTGATTATTTTAAATTTAAATAGCCACATGTGGCTCGTGGCTACCCTATGAGCAGCACTGCTACAGGGGACTTGAGTACACAAGCTCCTTGACGGGGCTCTTACCTGCTCTCCTGCTCCCGGTCTGCTCCTCTCCTTCACCTCAGAAATCACACTCCCAAGGCAAAGCAACTACCGTTCCACACTCCCACGGGTGGGCGTGCTCTGGCCTCTGCCTAAAATGCCCTTCCTCTCCAGCCACCTCCAAACTCCATGAAAATCTTGATCAGGTTTCATTTCTCCGGAGCAACTCTGCTTCACCCACCTCCCGCCTTACCTCATCCCACTGCTGACACAATCTATCACTGCCTCCTCTTTATTTTTCTGAGTGTTTCTGTTGCTCTCACCATCCCATAGTTGTCATTTATTCTCTGTGGTGCTAACAGACTATGGGAATTTTGAAGACTGAGTCTCATTCATTCCGTCATCCTAGTGGTGTGTGCCCATCACATAATATGTGCACAGCAAATATTTGTAGCTGAGTACACTATTAATTTGTGGATATGTATAACAGTTTATTAAAATAAGTCTCAAGCTATTGACAACCACTCTGTAATTATGGAAACTATGTAGGTCAAATTCTATTATAAGGCCTGTTATCAAATAATTTTAAAAAGTTCTTAGAATCTCAATTGAAGGTCTACTTATTTCAAGTATAGCGTTTCAGTACAAATCTGGAACAAAATCCTACCTGTAGCTGCTCCTCCTAAAGGTCTGGAAGTCTCTTGGATTTCAGAAACTGATCCTGTCATTGATCTGCCCCCTGTGCTTGCAGTGACTTACTAGGGAGACATGGACAAGGTTGAACAGCAAGAAGACAGAGGACCTGATTATAGGCACAGTCATATCGGAATTCAAGGGTACTCTATCCTTGCTACACCCTCTACCCAATCCTACCTCCAAGAAGGAAATGATTAAAATATAATCTAATGTAAAAAATAATGATTGTGAGTGATTTGTATCTGTTCGATAATATATGTTATCCCCTCCCACAATAAAGTATTGTGTTTCCCTTATTCCTTAACAAAGCTTTTGCTCCCAAAAAAATCTTTCTTGTTAAATCATGTAGCATCTGTTACAATATTAACCTGCCCTGCGAGCCACGCTAGTTCTTCGTTTTTTCTAATCACAATTTTCCAACTAATCCCTTATTTGAATTTCACACCAGTGTTCCTACAAATTAGAAAAAGCACTTGATAGATACATTTCTGTGAACCTAATTTGTATAAGATATTTCCCAAGTAGCACCCATCTGGTGGCTATATTTTACAAATGATTATCTTTCCTGCCCTCCAGGAACTTACAGTTCAATAACTCAAACAAACAAATACACAGTGACCAGAAATGTGTATTTGTGGGAACAGTCACAGCAGCTGGGCACTGAAGACATGGATTTCAGAAAGAACATGAGTCCAAAGGACTTCATCTCCAAATCAAATATACATCTGGCTTTTGTCTTCTTTTTTGTTTGTCTTTTGTTGTTGTTGATCCTGACCTGAGGATATCTTTCCATTGATTTTTAGAGAGTAGAAGGGAGGAGAAGAGACAGAGAGAGGGAAACATCTATATGAGAAAGACACATAGATTGATTGCCTCCTGCACTGGCTCCAGGGCCAGGGATCGAGCCTGCAACTGAGGTATGTGCCCTTGACCAGAATTGAACCCGGGACTCTTCAATCCAGGGGCCAATGCTCTATCCAGTGAGTAAAACTGGCTAGGGCAACTTTTGATTTCTTATTAATTATGTGATTTTGTTATGTTTTGAAATGCACAAACAACACTTTCTAATGTGATGAACATTAATTTAACAAATGCCTGAGTTCTTAGGGGCTGCATGAGCATTTAGATAAATCTCTAATTTTCTCAAGATGTTTCAAAGAAAGACAAAGGCCTAAGATATCTTTTGAGGCTGATAATGAACACTGTGAGATAAAAATCTTTCCCTAAGAGGCCCTAGATCTAAATATAGGGATATTCATTTCTTTTTCTAAAATTCCTTCTAAAATCTGCCCATTTGGGAAGAATACTGATTAAATCTAGAAATTACATTCGGTATATTATTGGAATAACTTGTGAATTCTACTAATAAATGATGTACTTATTTCCAAAATGTTTCTGTTGCTGCTTATAGAAGATCTGGCTTTCAAAGATTCTGTTTTGAGGTTAAAAATGAAGATAGTGACCTTAAGCCTCTGAAGATTTGTAATGCTGGCATGCCATCTATCTCAATAATACCCAACAAGAATGTCAAATGGACAGAATGGCCATGGTGAGTGGGTGCTTGCCACTGACAGTGATTGCTATATTTTGGGTGATGGGGAACAGGATGTCCATTAGTTGGAGTGAAATACAATGCCCTGCCAACTCTAGGTATCAGTGCATTCAATCCCCCTGCTGTGCCGTGTCCATTTTCTGTTGCTGCAATTAAAAATCAGTCAATACACAGTCAAAATGTTGTACATTCCTCCCCTATCCCTTTCCCTGTCACTGTGTTTCCAGCTCACCGGAAGAACATGTCACTATGGAAACCAATTCCTCTGGTGCACAGACCAAGTCAACCTTTCTAGCTGGATTGCTAAGCAGAGCAATAGGGAATCAAAGCCCTCATTGCAACCATCAGAAGCCATGAATGACACCCTCCTTTTTTTAAGTGGGGTTAACCAATACCAGATAGAAGGACACCTGTCTTGTTTAGGGAGATGGTCAAGGCAGGAAATTCAAGAATGCCCTTCAGTAAGTCCTACCAGTGTTTATCAGTCATTATTAATATGAATTCTTCCTCACATTCTGGCTAACTTCCTACCATTCCAATTTTATTTTTTTTTAAAATATATTTTATTGAATTTTTACAGAGAGGAAGGGAGAGGGATAGAGAGTCAGAAACATCGATGAGAGAGAAACACCGATCAGCTGCCTCCTGCACACTCCCCACTGGGGATGTGCCCGCAACCAAGGTACATACCCTTGACAGGAATCGAACCCGGGACCCCTGAGTCCACAGGCCGACACTCTATCCACTGAGCCAAACCGGTTAGGGCCATTCCAATTTTAATGAAAGCAGAAAATGAGGGATAAAACAACACTTTATGAATCTGAGAATCTGAAAACTGCTATGAAATCACCCATGGTCAAAAACTATTCTGCTTCCTCTTCTTTTCCCAAAATCCAAACCCGAGTTGCTCTCTTCTGGAATTCTCTAATATCCATACGTCTTTACAAACTTGTAGAGCTCCAGATGGGTCACCCTGTTCTAAAAAGTGCCTAACATGAAACAGATGTGATGTCTATAATATTAACACACTCAAAGCCAAATTAGCTAAAATCCCTAGTCATTCTACAGAACCTACAACACAAGCATTAAGACGGGTTCTGTCTGGACTTATCTCACCTAAGTCTGAATGGCCACTTAGACCATACCTACTGCTTGTCATTCTTAAACAATTGGCATTTCTATTAACAGTTTCCATCCATTTCAAAATTTTTACAAATTAAAGAACATCTGTTCTCACAAATTATATTTAAAAACAGCATCAAACCTCCATTATAATATAAAATGTCATTAAGAACTGTTTTATATCTTGGCCTCAAAGGCTGCTGATAAACAACATCCTTTTCAGCTTACCACCACCATTTAATAGTTGAAAAGAATGGAACCTAGCAGGGAGTAAAAGAAGACTCTTGAGATCACACCACATCTTCCACGACATAGCTACCATAGAAGAGCAATATTAATATATATCCAGCCCTAGCCAGTTTGGCTCAGTGGATAGTGTCGGCATTTGGACGGAAGGATCCCAGGTTTGATTCTGGTCAAGGGCACATGCCTTCGTTACAGGCTCAATCTCCAGTGTGGGGCATGCAGGAGGCAGCCGATCAATGATTCTCTCTCATCACTGATTTTTCTCTCTCTCTCTCCCTCTCCATTCCTCTCCGAAATCAATAAAAATATATTTAAAGTATATTTTAGTGGGTTAATGGAACAGGAAGGTCCCCAAAGTATATGTCATGCAAAATTTACAAATTTCATTTTAAAGCAGACTTTAAAATGTATGTGATCATACTAACTTATCAAATTTTTATGGTTTGTAAATACAGGTTTTTTCCTGTTTTGGTACACTTTGGTATGGTATTCTTTTTTTCTCTGCAGTGCCCACTTTGTTGTTACCTGAAAAACTACTGTTTTGTGCTTGTCAGACCCCGCTAAATATTGCATGCACACAAGTCATTTGTCAACCACTTTCTTAAAAGGAGAAATCAAGAATTGTGGTATGATGCCACTGGGTCAACGGGCTTTGAGCTTCCACAGGGCAGGAGCTGGAATTTGTTGATATTTATATGACCAATGCCTGCAACATGCCTAGTAGAGTAGTACAGCACTTAGCAAACGTTCCTGGCATCAGTAAGGCCTTCTGTTTAGATGTTCCCCCCACTTTCCCTTGATGAATCAGTTCAACATCTAAAAAGATTAAAACTAGGAGTCTGACTACCCCAACATATCACTCTTAAAGGGCTTCCTCTGTTAACAGCACATTATAGATTTCCTTCCTTTTAAGAGACTGAACCAGCATTATCCTACCCTGGACCATGCGAATCTCAACAGACAAATGCAAGACAAGAGGCGAGTAGGGAGAGGTAAGCCTCTGTCACCAGCCACTGGGAGGCAAGTTGTGGCCACTCCAAGGTTTGGGAGAGCCTGACAACCTGACCTCCTGGACCCAGGAGGCTTACTAGACCTCCGCCAGGCTTAGGAGGGAGAGGGCTGCCGGGCCTAGCTGGGGCCAGGCTCTCCGCAGCGCCACGCCTCGCTGCTGGCGCTTACCTTTCCGAATGAGAGCGGCGATCTCGGGGTCGAAGCCCTGCCGGTGGCACTTTCTCCAGAGCCCCATGTTGGTGGAGTTGTACTGCCGGCTGCATTCGTCAATGGGGCTCATGGCGAAGAGCTGCCTGCGATTCCGGGCCCGGAGGAGTTTGCCCTCCCAGCGGTCCAGGCGCGAGCGGCTCGCTCGGAGCGGCAAGTTGTTGTTGTTGTTGTAAATGAAGCCAGGATCGATCCGGCGGGTGTTGAAGGCCTTGCACCTGTCCCTGTGCTTCCTGGCGTCCGTCTCGTACCAGTGGTCCGAGCAGATGGCCACGGCCAGCATGCCGAGGGCGCAGAGCGCTAGCGAGAGGCCCGTGTAGAGCAGTAACCTTCCGGCAGCCATGCCTCCGCTTCGCGGCTACACCATGGGCATGATCCGCCGCAGCTTCGCCTTCCCTCCGCGCGCCCGGAACAAAGCGGCGGGCGGCCGAGCCAAAGGGGGGAGGGGGACAGGAGGGGACTCGCGGCGGCTACCCGTCGCCCCCCGCCTGCCTGCGCGCGGCTCGGGGAGTACGGGGTGGGGGCGGGCAGCCTACAAAGTTCTGATCCGGAGGGGCTCTGGCGGGCTCCTGGGCATCCTCCGGGGCAGGTGCAGCCTCGGGCGGCAGTGAGCAAGGCAAGGCCGCCTCCCCGCCCCTCTCTGCCCCGCAGGCAGCGAGTGTTCGGAACCGGCCGAATCCGCACACAGCTCCGGGCGCCGCAGCCCTCCGGCCGGAAACTAAACACCAAGTGCCCTCGACTGCAGTGGGGTTGCTGGGTTTTCTCTATGAAGGCGACGACGGGGCCCACTCACCCAGCTTTCTTGGGGTGAGGGCGGGCTGTCAGGAGGAGCTACTCAATGACAGGATGCACTGAACCCCCGCGAAGCGGCCGGTCCGCGAAGGAAACCTCTTGATGCTAGGCTGGCGGCCCCGAATGTCTCCTATGTCTCCCTCTCAGCAACTCTCCCCCTTCCGGTCTGCCAAGAAATGTTTTTTTCTGAGTCGGGTCTTTTAGAAATCTCCGTTCTTCGGTCACCAGCAGGTCCCTTGCTCTGTCTGGCCAGCACGCTGCGCTCAGAGGTGGGCTCCCCGTGGGCGCACTGTCTTGGCCGACCTTTCGTAGCGAGCTCCTGGTTCTGCCTTTGGCCTAGCCATTCAAGCCTCCCCTCGGGCCGGACGGCGTTACCCGATGAACCGTGGCCCGGGGTTTGCGGCGACTGGGGGGCTGCTGGCTGGCGTAAGGGGTAGGCTGGGACGAGGATAGCGCACCCGGCAGGGCGCACGGCACAGGGTGTGCGGAGCTGGGCGCTCGGCGCCTTCAACACCATGGACAGGTCGCACGGTTTCGGCGCGCGGCCCGCCAGGCAGCCAGTCCCCTGGGCGTCATGCCGCCTGCCTCTGCGCCGTTTTCTTCTCGGAGTGTCCGCCCGGCCTCCTCCAGGCCCGCCTCTCCCGCGCCGCCGCCGCCTCACTTCATCTGGCTCCCGTGGAGCCCGGGAACGTGCCGCCCAGGTGCAAAGAAAATACTGCAGGCACCGAACACAGAGGCCCAGCCCTTCAAAACAACCCGCCCCTTCGCTGCCACCTGAGCCCGGCGCTCTCGCACCGTTGTCTGCTTTGCCCAACTACGGTCAGCTGCTCTCAGATTGCACCATTTTTTACGCAGCCCACCCAGGGCCAAGACGCCGGCTCACTCGGCAGCGTGCGGAGAGTAGCGTCCTGGCCTCCGCGTCCCACGATCAGGCTCCCTGCGCGCAGTGGTCGCCGAGGTGGATGGGGAGAGGGTGGGGGAGGGAGGCTGGGTCGCTCGCCTTCCCCTCCCTGCCTCCTCTAGCCGCCGCGGCTCCGGGGCGTCGCGGGCTAGGCTAGTGCTGGGGAGCGGGAGCCGAGGCTGCGCCCGGAGGGCTGGGGAAACTGCCTGGCCCGGGTGCGGGAGCCGGAGGAAGCCACTGCTGCGCTCGCTCTCTCGGACGCCGGGCGCTGCAGCCTTGGCTAAAACCCACAGACGAGAACACGGAGCGTGCAGCCCTAAGCTAGTGATGTCATCCGTGCAACGTGAGCCTCATCTCTTATTTTTCTAGCCTCCTTAAAGATAAACTGCACCATTTCCCAGGCACGAAATGTCTAAGCCTTATTCTTTGACCAGGCAAGTCAATGGTGTCGAGATAGGTATGTGCCCAATCACATCCATATTTATGCACATATACATATATGTGGTATGTAGCATGTTTGCATGCATTATTATAAATTTAGGAATGTAGCCTCCATCTCTCCCGTTTATCTCTCCAGTGGTGGGAAACTCCCTCAAATCGGCCACAGTTCTTTAAAGAAAAGACTGCTTATTGCGGAGTGGGCATTCTGGGAGACTAAAGAAGTTCGCTGCGTCCCCGGTTTGTGTCGCTGATGTCTTTGATCCTATTTGATCTTTGTTTCCCTCAGAAAGCCACCGGTGCTGTCTTTCTAGCTATAGGCGTTTGCTCCAGAGGCTGACCGCTATCACCGCCAGCCCCACGCCAGCACCAGACTCCCCGACACACACCCACCTCCACCTCCCTCCTCAGAAGGAAAAAAAGAAAGAAAATTGGTCCCTTCAAGACAAGAAGAAGAGAATTTTAATTGAGAGGGTGCTTAACAGATATTGTGAAAACGCTTGAGGGTTTGAGCTTTGAGGAGGAGAGTGGGGTTCAATGAAACGTGGGTGTGGGATTTGTCCTTATCTGGATGGCAGCTGAATTTAGGCTCTGCCGAGGCTCTGGGAGGTAGTGCGGGACCCCAGACCTTGAGCGGGTGGGCCGCAGGCGAGTCCCACTTAATCCCACTTCCCCACTCACGTGAGACAGCGCCGCAAAGGCCGGGAGCCTCCCTCCCAGGTTGAAACCCTAGATTTTTCACTCTAATGCTCACCCTTCATTTTCACCCTCACTCCAAAGTCGAGGGCCCACACGGCTGCGTGAAGAACTGCCCCAAGGAAAAAGAGACTGTCCGGCACCCTTTTCGGCACAATGGGGCCTGCAAGCCAAAATGAGCGCACCTCCACCATATTTTTTTTTTCTTTTTCCTCCTTCCTGCGTTTTGAAAATCGCCTACGAGGCGTTTCAGTGCCATCTAGTGGGGGAGGGGCGTGCCTCACTTGATGCTTCAATGGGATTTGCTGAAAGGGCAGCAGAAATTGAGGATGTCGGCTGGGATCTCGGATGCCTGGCTGGGCAGGGACTGTGTCCTTTGCCAGCTCCCGGTCCCCTGGGTTCCCTAGGCTGGTGAGGCGGAGCCAAGAGACTTTGGCCCCAATGGCTTCTCACCTTTCTTTCCACCCTCCTCTTACCAGTTCTCCCTCCCCCAACAGTGAAAATATGGAAACAAGGGCAAACACTCAGCACACATGCAGACAATGTCATAAATTTCTGGAGCTATTCTTTTCTGTAAAGCCCAGAGCACTTTTAGGCTAACTGAATGCCTGTGTTTGACAGTAGGGAGGAGGCAGAAAGGTGAAATGGCATCTACAAGGTCACTCAGCCAGCATTAGAGCCTCAATCTCCTGATTTGTGACTCTTCTCCCCTGAGAACCAGCTGAAAGAGGTGCCCCAGAGACCCCTGGAAGCCCAGGCAGTTGTCAATTCACAATAAATATGCCTGTTAAGTCTGCCTTTATCTTTCCTTCCTCTTACATTATTCCCTCCTTTCTTATTCCTGTTTTTTAACTTTCTCCTGGCCTGGGCCTTAGGCCTGCTTCTAAGCATGTGCCTGGCCCACTACTCCCCACCCGGTAGTCCTGTGATTTGGCCCTGCTGGGGAAAGGACCCCAGTGTCCTCCTCTTTTCTGATCATCATTGAAATTCTGTTTTAAAAGTTTTGTCCTTGATGACCTCCCCAAAAGCCTATGAAACATGTTGATTTGAGACCTGCTTTGGAGTGCAATTTTCTTGGACAGCCCATTTGTGGATGACCCTGGTCTTTGGGGCTAAAAAGATGGTGAATTCTTCTTCTAATCTAGACTATATGACTACATGACTTTCTTTTCTTAATTGAGTGATTTACCTTTCTTCTGTCTTCTTCCAATTCCTTCCATCCTGTTAGCTACACTATCTCTGTATTTCCTACCTAGTCCTTCCCATTTGCACCTACACTGTTGTAGGATTACAGAATCTCAAAATCAGAACGTACTTAAGAGTCAGCCACACAAGAATGCATTAATCTCTCCTAGAACATTTCCCAAGAAGTAACTGACCAGGCTCTGCTTGCCTACTTGCAAGGGTGGGGAAATCCCTCTCTGGACAAGCACCCTGCTCTGTAAGTGGTTAGGAAGCTCTTCCTTATACTGAATGGTATCCAGTTATCCTTCGAGAAGCCCACAGATACCTGATTCCTCTTCCATGTAATGGTCCTTCTCATACTTGATATCAGCCATTGTTGTCTCCCTAAGCCTTCTTCCTTCCAGGCTTAACATCCCTTGTTCATTTCCTCCTAGCACTTGCTTGCATTTAACAGTGCTCTTTTATCTAAGTCAGTCATGTCAATCAATGAAGAAAATGTGGTCAGTCATTTTTTACATGACTCATATAGAGTTCTAATGATCCTTCTAGGAGCCTATAAGTCACCCCTTTTGAATGCTATTCTAGGATCTTACCCCAAAACGACATTAAGATCATGGATTTTCAGTTTGTGAAATCCACATTTTTGAAATTTGGAATTTCCTTTGCAACACACACACATATACACACATACATACATACTTTTTTAAGAAAAGCAACATTTACATTCTCCAACTTTTCTCTAAGGTCAGCAATAGACATTCAGAGGTATAATTAAAAGTTCTCTCTTTTCTTGGAGTATAGTTCACCCAGAATAGATAGATGCTTTACTATGATTTCACCCATTGTGATCTGTCTTCAGTTGTCATATTTGTTCCACTCTACACCCCACCTTCAGTCTAAAAATCACTCTCATTGACATTGTCATTTGGAATCAAAATAAAAGTTGATGATGTGTGCTTTCTCTTTGCCATCTATCAATAGTATGTCACTTGCCCAGACAGAAGTCCCCTTATAGTATATTTGTATTCCTGGTTTCCTAATTAGCTTCACATAACTTAGACATTATTTGAAACCCAAAAGGTATTTTACATTTTAGCCCTCTGACACAGTCCTCCAAGTCTGTGACGTATTAGTATTTATGCTTGAATAGGTACCCTTCTTTCTGAATCTCAACTCATCAGAGATTCATATTTGTTTGTTTAGCTACTTTCCTTCTTATCTTCCTTACTAGAGGCCCAGTGCATGAACTCGTGCACAGGTGGGGACCCTCGGGGTGGCCTGCGGAGATCAGACCCCAGCTTGCGCCCCCAGCCTCCCAGCCTCACAGCCCC